CAAACCTAGTTTTACTTCAGCTAAGAAAATATCTAAAGCAATGATGGAAACTGTGCACCCATGGCCCACCAAGGCTCCAAGACCCTTTCCATAGCTGGAATTAAAGGGGGGAAAACAACAACAGTCTGAACATGGACAGTAATACTGCCAGAAGCCTCCAGAGGTACAAATGTTCACTTTAATGCTTTTCCCTCAGTACCTACGACAGAAGCAGGTTTTTTTAAAAAAAGTTAATGAGTCATCATCTGGCTTGGAGATTAAGATCTATGCATGTGCTTTCAACCCAGTGATCATCTTTCTTTACTGGGAGGGAATGGAAAAATCTCCCCTTCTCCCCATTCCCCAGATGAGCATGAGGATTTTGGGCAGGGGGAATGAATGAGAGAAAGAATAATGGAGAAAGAGTGATTGGTATGGAATGAGTGTGAAATGATTTGGCAATGGCAGTGGGGTGCTATGTATCAAGGCATTCCTGGAGGGCCATGTGTATCTCCTTCCCAGGCTGCTGTACCCACTGGTGCTAATGGAAGGGAAGCGTCCTGGCATCCCAGATGCTTCCTGTTTTCAGCCATAATACCAGTCCATGTCTCCTTTCTCTCACTTTATTTTTCACCTTTAACATAAATAGTTATCCTCGCTCCTCTTCTTGCCAAACTTATGAACTGCTAAAAGCCCTGCTGGCAGAATGACAGAAAGCCAGCAGAGAGACAGAGAGCTTAAGACTGCAACTTCTTAAAACTCCATATAAGCTGGTTTGCGAAAAGTATGTACTGCAGTCTCTGATATATCAAATGACTATGAGTTGTATGCCATCAAATCAATACTGAGTCAATTGTGAGTCTTTCCAGGGTTTTCTCGGCAATGGTTTATCATTCCCTTTTTCAGGGAGTGTGAACCTTGCCCAAGCTATGCAGGCTGGTTCTTCTCCCAAGAGACTCAGTGAAGAATCCAGTTCTGACCTCTGGGTCCGCAGGAAGGTACCCAATTTACTGCTATCCAGCCAGCAATACCTCACGACCCGGGGAACGGGTGTCACAAATATATAAACTTAGTTACAGATCATTATACAAAACAAAACAAAAACAAAAAAACCAATGAAGTTTTATTTTGCTGACAGTGAAGAATCCAGTTCTGACCTCTGGGTCTGCAGGAAAGTACCCAATTCACTGCTATCCAGCCAGCAATATATGAACTTAGTTACAGATCATTATAAAAAAAAATGAAGTTTTATTTTGCTGATTTGTTGCAGAAACTACATATGGAGGGGGGGGGGAATCCTGATTTTTAGACACACAAAATCAAGATCTTGATAGATACTCCCTCCCTATTTAACTCTGGCCTTAATCCTTTCACTTAGCCTAGCATGTTAAAACTAGAGTAGGCCTGTTGAATCAATGGAAACAACAGAGGAATTGGCTCACCATATCCTAAATGATTCAGCCTAATATACTTGCCACTTACTAGGCTAAGCAACAGGATTTTGGCCTGTGTCTCAATAAAGGGAAAAGTAATCCTCCCCACTTTTCTTGGATGCACACCTTAATGTGGTGAAGCGGTTCGAATGTTTTCAGTAAAGCTAAGAGCAATGCAGTCAGGAAGTCAGAGTCCATTATCAGTCTGGACTCCTGTCAGACTCACCCAAGGTGGAATGGACATAGCTGAGAAATTGGATTAAGATGCATCCAGCCTCTTCAAGGGTAACAGCTGCATCAGCAGAGAATAATGGATAATTTCAATGGTGATGGGGGTGGCAGCTACTGGTAAGCAGTGGAGTAGCAGCAGTAGCTGAAGGTGAAATTGGCAGAGGAGGCAATGGCAGGAACACTTCAGCTAACTTTTGTAGTACTGCACAGAAGGTGGCAATGGCAAACCACTACTGAACTTTTCTTACTGTGAAAACCTTATGGTGAGACAGTCTAGAATAAAACAAGAGATAGTGCTAGAAAATAAGAATCCCAGGTTGGGGAAGAGCAAAGGACAAGTACTAATAGTACTGTTGCTAATGACCAACTAGATTAAAGCTGAAAGGACATCTAGTGGTTGATGTGCACCAAAGTGAAAGGAAAGTCCAATGCTGCACAACACATACAACTGGAACAGAGAACATGAGAAGTATAAATCAAGGTAGAGTGGAAACTGTAAAGGAAGAAAGGGAATGAATAAATATTGCAGAGCTTAGTGTCAGTGAACTAAAGTGGACTGGAATAGGATACTTTCAGTCTGACAACTACGAAATGTTTTACTTTGGAAATGTCAAACTCAGTGGACATGGAGTGACTCTAATACTGAGGCAAGATGTAGGACATAGTGTTAGGGGCTATAATACAAAGTCTTATCAAATAATGTCAATCAGACTTCATGGAAAACCCATCAAAATAACCATCATTCAAGTCTGTGCTGCGGAATAGGATACTTTCAGTCTGACAACTACGAAATGTTTTACTTTGGAAATGTCAAACTCAGTGGACATGGAGTGACTCTAATACTGAGGCAAGATGTAGGACATAGTGTTAGGGGCTATAATACAAAGTCTTATCAAATAATGTCAATCAGACTTCATGGAAAACCCATCAAAATAACCATGATTCAAGTCTGTGCTCTAGCTATGGATGCTGAAGAAGATGCAATTGAAAGCTTTCATGCAAGCATCCAGGAGGAAACCACACACCAGAACATGGCACTGCTTATAATTGTATCATAGGTGCCTGCAGTGCAAAAGCAGGAAACAAAGCTTTTGAAAATTTTGATCTCAGGGACAGAAACAAATCAGGAGAATGACTCAGAGAGTTCTGAGAAGCCAACAATCTGTTTTTTGCAAATACATGCTTCAAGCAACCAGACAACTGCCCATGTAGACATCACTAGATGGTCAATACAGGAATCAAATAGACCATATAATTGGAAACAGGAAATGAAGATGTTGAATCCCCTCAGTGTGCTGCTTTAAGAGGGTGTTCAAACTAAATGAGGAAACCCGGAGAAGGGTTTTTCTGACTTGAGGGTGCATAACTAAGTCTTGCTACTTCCTTGAAAAATATGTTCAAATACTTTTAGATTAAACAGCCTGTTTGTGACACTTTAGGTCACCTGCTGGATAGCTTAGTGGTTTAGATATCTGACTAGGGGCCCAGAGGTTGGAAGTTCCATTTTCCACTGTGCCTCCTTGAAAGGGTTGGACTTCATGATCCACAGGGTTCCTTTTCAGCTCTGCAGTCCTAAGGTTATCATTGGCATCTGTACTAGTGCATTTTATTGAAAATAAAGGGATTTTTACTCCTTCCACTTTAAAGGAGGGCATGTCATATATTAAGTGACATATATGATTTCATCAATTACGCAGATAAACAGTGGATCCGGCTGTAAAGTTCACCTGCATCTGCCTCTCCTCAGGAAAAGGAAGAAGGAAAAGAGGGGGGGGGATCCCCGCTCCTTTAATTCATCCAGTCACAAAGCTGTTAGTTCCTGTGGCAGTGCTATTTTCATGCGATGAGCTCACCCTTTGGAAAGAAGCAGCCAACCTTCCACCGGAGGGCGCACAAGGAAGCAGCCGCGCTGGCTCAAGCGATGTCAGGGCACAGGCTCCTGAACGCAGCGCGGCAGGCTTGTAATCTGATTTAGGACACGTATCTCCCAAGCTGTTCTTGAGGCGAGCGAGCCTTGCCCCATCTCAGGTGTCAGAAGGGTCTCCTCCTGTTTACCTGCTCGCCCTGCTGCGGCAACCCACTGTTCGGAAGCGGCTCCGCTTAAAGCCACCGAACTTGCCCACGCCCACCATCGCTGCGTACCTTTCCATCACGCCCCCCCCTCGCGTATGTCAATCAAGGGACCGCCAAAGACCTGAAATATTATCCTCTACTCCACAGCTGCTGCTTGTCCCCTTTTCCTTCTTTGTCAAGTGACCCAGATTTTTTTTAAACGCCAAAGCTAACAGATCGGCTTGTAATCGTTTGGAAACCGCTCCTTGTTATTACTCTTCGGATTTTTAACTGGCCCTAAAAATAGGTCTGATCGCGGAATATTGTCGAAGGCCAGCTCCGTCCCCACATGCAAGAGACAATACAGCTTCTCCTAACTTCTCCTCCGGTGGTAACGGGGAGCTGAAAATGGTGTTTCTTTTCCTGCCCATCTCAGGATCTCAGTCATGTGATGTGTCCTTTTTGGAGGGTGGGACCTGCACCCCCACGCCTATTTTATTTACGGCTGCTGTCTGTCACTGAGGACATGTGAGTGTCAAAAAGGCTGCCTGTCGAAGAGCATACCCGTTCAAACGCACGACGTGTGAATACGTCCACGCCGAGTGTCGTGCAACACAAAGGCTTGGAGAAGGCGAGATCCTCCAGGAAAAAGGGTTTGCCTGCAGTATTCTAAAAGGCAGGGGCATAAAGGGAGGAAATCACCCTTGCTTTCCCTGCAAAAAAGCCTTGGCAAAAGGGGGCTGACTTTGTGCAAGGGCTGCTGGCGGAGCGCGGTGGGGGGTGGTCTGTGACTCTCCCCCCCCTCCTTCGCCTGCTGCTCGGATGATGTCATGGAGAGGCAGCAAGCGGCGGGGGGTGGGCAGAGGAGGAGGAAAAGGAGGAGGCACTGCAGGTTCATGTGTATATAATAAAAAGGCATTTGACAATCTGCCAAAAAGCACGGAAGGGAGAAACTGGACCTAGTGGATTTCGTAAAGCGAAGCGTCATCATCATCTGCAACTACATGGGGAAGAAGGAGGAGGAGGAGGAGGAGAAGGAGGGGGGAGCAGCGGCAGCGGCGGCGCCGGCGATTCCAGATTCGGCTGCCTCAATGTGAAACCACACGCCAAAATC